CTAATTAATTTTTTTAAGCTACTCCTTATCTAAAAAACTATCGATTGTGTTTTTTGCAGGGAGAACGAAAGCTTACTGTCCTAGTTGGCTATTCTTCTTTTTTAATGCTTCATATATTTGGGATCTACTGGTGTAACTGGAGGGATGATATTTTCCTTCCATTGCTTATGATTCCTCCGAAGGCTATCCCACCTTTCTGGCATGCCATATTCATTATCCTCGTAAATGGTATGGTATTCTGAGCTGATTTGTTGCTTTTGCTACTCGGTTCATGTAACTAGTATGATATTTGATTATACAGAAAATCCTCGACATGCTTGTTCATAATATCGTATTGTTTTCGAAATAATATAATGTTAGAACTGTAAAATAGGCTGAAATTGAATATTTTCAATGAGGTGGAGAAAAACAAACGTAGTTCACATATGTCGAAATAGTAAAATGTGTGAAAATCATTGTTAAGATGTAGCCATACAAACCTTTTGATATTGGATCGAGAAAAATATTCCTTTTTGTCACCATTGATCTGCTATTTTTTTTTTTTTTTTNAGTATTTTATTAACTTACAGATATAATGGCTCGGCAAACAACCATGGTCATCAAGTGTTTTCTGTTAATGTATTATAAGAACGGTAAAGGCCACAATTTCCGTAGACAGGTACACATCTGCCCTCAAATTGGTTTTATAATCTTGAAATAGACATTTAATTTTTTAAGGAATCTAATGGTAATCTTTTGGTTATTCAGGGTCAAATGTTAACCCTGGTTGAGTATACATTTCTTCTTTATCGTGCTTTATTGCCAACCCCTGTATGGTATAGATTCTTCTTGAACAAGGAATATGGGAATCTCTTTTCATCACTTACGACTGGGTTATATTTAACAGTCAAGCTAACATCAATTGTCGAGAAAGTATGTCAATTAGCAGCTTACCTTTTTATTCTAGTTTGTTTTGGATTTGTCTATTAGACTTGACGGGTATAAGCTCTGTGCTGATCTTCAGGTTCAATCTTTAGTTGCCGCATTTAAGGCATTATCTAAGAAGGAAGTTCATTACGGGTCTCATGCAACACCTGAGCAGGTACAATTTTTTTTGTTGTACTCAAGCTCATTTAGGTTCATAGCTTTAAATATTTTACTTCACCTTAATATTCCTGAAAAGCATATGTATATGTCATAACAGGACTTTTCATTTAATTTTTGCTAGGTAAATGCAGCTGGTGACCTGTGTGCTATATGCCAGGAAAAAATGCAGATGCCCATTTTACTAAGCTGCAAGCATATATTCTGTGAAGACTGTGTTTCCGAATGGTTTGTTTTTCATTTTCACGATTTATTTTCTTTCTACATTTCTCGCTTAGGTTGCGTTTCCATTGCAAAATATATATATAATATTTTTTTTTTATATCTATTGCCATTGTTGAATTATTATTATTAATATTATTATTATTATTATTTATTCAATTCAGAATGATTTTTTCCTCCAGGTTCGAGAGAGAGAGAACGTGCCCTCTGTGTAGGGCTTTGGTTAGACCTGCCGATATTAAGTCGTTCGGGGATGGGTCGACTAGTCTTTACTTCCAGTTTTTCTGATCTTCTCACGGTTAACTTTTCGCTCGAACTGAATTTAATAGCATTTTTTAAGCCATGCATTGAGAAAATCTCTCTATGGCCAAAATCTGCAACATGTTTGCCTATATAAAGGTAATTTATAAATAGTGCTGTTCTCAAGCCTTTCACAAATTTTAGGATTAGAGTATATTTGAGCTCGGTATATATAAATTTTTCTGTTTTTTTAAGTGATTTTTTTTTATGCATTTGGCTCAATGTTGCTAGTTCAGGACTATTGAATTACAAAATTTGATGGATGATTTTTTACCTCAATTCAAGAATATACTGGGCCGTAGCATGTATATGATATAACAGAAATATGCTATATAAAAGTATAGTTATTTATACTGTTTTAGGCTTCTAGTGTGATGAAATTATTTATTTTACATTTATAGCTAATGCGGAATAAATATTTATCGATGCCTCTTCATCAATAAAATATTAGATGTTCCAGAGGTAATATTGAATGCAAGACGGGCACTACTTGGGCCCAGAGATTATGTGGGCCTAAAGGATATGCATCGCAGCCCACCTTAAATTTAAATATAAATATTTTTAATATACACCCGTGTATAATATACGCGTATTGTACTAGTTAATTTATAAAACAAAATCTAATATAGAGTTCATATTCCATAGAGTAAGTACTATCTATTGATACAAAATAGTCAAATACTCCCTCGTGCATTTGTACATATATAAATTTATACGTGCATTATGACACACATATATCTATATTCTGTTTTCATAATCTTATTGGGTCACATTCTTTCAAACAATGTGCTGATTAAATGCACTAACCACAAAATCATTCTATTCCCATCTATTATCATAATGAAACTAAAAAGTGTTCAACTACCACCAATATGTTGCTTTTTAGTACCTAAGTTATCCTTTTCAAAGTTATATAAAGTTACCAATCTATTATATTTAATGTGGACCATTTCATTACGTTTCATAATTATATTATTGTTTTTCCTACATTTATTTTTCGTGTTATGTCACTAACAAAGTTTTCTAGACAAATATCATCCAGACTTGCAGAGATGTTCACTTTATCGTTCATTAACGTGTCTACCAACAATATATCAAAATCTCGTTATCTTTGAACATCATACTTACTTTCTCTTATTCATAATAAGTGTCGTTTTAAGAAGTTGCACAGTAATTAAGAATATTTTTTTTGCCAATAATAACCCTCTTTAATGAAGATAGAGAATGATGTTTGAGGAAAAAATGAAGAGTGAATATGAAAAGACGTGGTGTATTTATTATCTAAATGAGGGTAATAATGGAAAAAAATGTACAAAAGATCTAAAACGACATTTATTTTGTTAATAGTTAATAAAACCAAAATGACATTTAAAAAGAATAGGAGGTAGTATCATGTATATGTTAATCTCCTATTGCATTGGCTGATGAGTATATGAATTAGTTCTCAGCAAGATTGTCGAAACTGGACATCAAAACCCATCTTAAAAGGTAAAAAAATAAAAATGTCGTTCAAAGTCTCAGAAAAAAATAAAATAAAATAGCCATCCTTTTCAAAAATATATAATATTGGTACGAAATATTCAATTCTAAAACACATTCTTCCCACAACTACAGAACACACAGCCAAAAATTCATTAAAATGTGACTAGAATTATCTTCGATGTAACATATGAAAAACTTCACTTCTAAAAGCAATTGTACAACTACTTGCACTATAATTTAGCTAAAAGTTCGTTCTAGGTTGGAATGTAGGAAAAAATTGTTTATATCGATTATGCCATTTCACAACAAGTTCAAATAATTTTAGTATAAAGTTTCCAATGGTCATTGTCTCATTGAGCCTTGTTAATTACTGGAAAATAAAGTTCAGTGGAAAATAAAGTTCAGTTGACAATATCAAAGTCATTGTTATTTGCTATATCAAGTTCTTTGAGGTGAAAATATATGGGGTTTAGTTAATGCATTGGTTTGGTCATGATTTGAGATGCCTTCTTAGTTGGAATGCACCTTGCTAAAGTCAACTCTCATGTAAATGCTTATAAATAATCCAACTTTATTATAACATTTTGGTGAAGACTGTCAAATAAGAGTATATCCAACTTTCTCATTCATATTCCCGTTCAAATATTATTTGAAATATTATCTAATAACATTATTTGAAACGTTTTTTTGTTATCTAAAGTTGTATATGAGATGATATAATATGTGATCATTATGTTATGTATTTTTTAGTTTTATTGAAATGTGCCTTTTGTTATTTAACTTTTTTTTATCGCATTCCATATAAATATATTTTTCCAAAGTAAAGTTTGGTATAACTCTAAAATTAAATTATAAATTTCCTGACATTAACTATGAGAATGATCACGGATAAAATTATGAAGATTTTTATGAACATTTTTCTTTTAAAATAAAAAAAAAAAATTGAATAAACTTCTATTGTGGATTATGGCATTAGGACCGCTATTCAAAGCAAGTACTGACGAATGGTTAAAAAGAACAAGATCATCACTCACTACAACAAAATGATGAAATTCCAACGGAAAGTTCCAATACAAATATATATTAATAGAATTCTAACCGAAATTCCAACAAAAATATTCCGCTGGAATGAGCTTTCCATTGGAATTTCCGTTAGATTTTGACGATTTTAATGATAGATTTTCCAACGGAGGTGGAAATAAAAATTCCAACGGAAATTGCATATTCCAATGAAAATTCCTACGGTAAAAAACTGTTGGAAAAATAGCCGTTGGAATCATCAAATTTCATCTAAAATTCTAATGGAAAAGTCATTCCAACGTAATGTTTTCGTTAGAATTTCTATTAGAATCATTCCAACGGAAGCTATACCATTGGAATATTCACTGTAATTTTCATTGAAATATATCCCCATAGGATTTTTCGTTGGAATATAACAATTTTTTTGTAGTGACTACAGTCCTGTTATAGGATGATTTTGTAGTGTTTTTAACTATTAGATACACATTTAAATTATATAGTATAGATAATCTACGGTTAAAACTATCAACGTAATCACATTCCCAAAAATGAAATTCAAATCAAAGTCTACTCTTGATAAAAATGTACACAATTTACATTTTTAAGCCCAATACATGATGATCCTTTTTTTAATGTTTTACATATTTACGGCCAAAAGTTTAGAATTCCATAACTTTAACTATGATGATCCTCAATTCTTCGAAACCAATTAAAACCGTAGAAATCTCTCTACTAATCAGTGCTTTTTGGTGCTTCCAAAAATAATTGACACCATATAAGAAAACGTCCATGAAAATTGTGGGTGAAATATTTAGTGCAAACATTAAAAAAAATTAAAAATTGATACTGCAATATAAAAAGATAATTTTTTTTAGAATACTTGCATAAACAAATTAATGATCAATAATATTTGTTTAATTAATTTTCTAAAACTTTAGCGCAATTGATTTTTTTTCCCTATATGTATTTTTATTATATAAAGTGAAAATTAGTTATACTTTATTTATGAATTATATGTTTAGTATAGTTAAACCATAAATATTCTATGCTTGATATATAACTATTGACTATATTTTCATGTTTATTGTAGTTAACCACAACTATACCTTACATTTAAGAAACAATATATATATACAAGTTTACAATAATGATATTGAGTAAAGATCACCTTCACTAATTATAAATCAATATAAAAAAAAGTGTGAATATAATACTAAACAAATCAGCTAAAAATATCCTAGTAAAAAAATACAAAGAATAAACACAAAACTATGTTGGAAAAAACAAAAGGACAGAGTCATGTTATAATATAGAATACATAAACATTATCAACTAAAAAATATATTGAATAAATTATCAATTAAAATCGTAATTCAATTTACGAAATAAATCAACAATGAACTATTCTTCAACCAAAATAAACTAGCAATAAATTGTGTGAGAAATCACACTTCCCAACATTATGTTTATTATACCTTTTAATCAATCAAATTTATAAGAAAGTCAAAACACTGTAATTGTGGTATTAAATCCACCTTCTTATTATACAAGAAAACTGGAAGGTAGCCAATGACCTCTTGGCCTAGTGGTAAGAGTGAGGCACCCTTGACATAAGGTCAAAGGTTCGAGCCCCCCGGAATGCAATAGTGGAACAATTAATACTGAGGACTAGAAGCGGCAGTGTGGGAGGCTGAAACTCGGTGAGGCCAGCATGAAGTTGGGGGACCAGCGAGCGATCACTTCGGTGGGAACCAGCGGCTGGATAGGTGGGGCCAACTTGGAGCTGGGAGGGCCAGCGAGCGATCACATGGGGATTGACTCCTTGTGCGCGGTAGTTGAGGGTATTAAGTACTTGAGAGCCAACATGGGAATTGACTCCTTGTGCGCGGTAGTTGAGGGTATTAAGTACTTGAGAGCCATTGTGTGGCTACTCCGGTTTAATTGGAGGCAATGTCTAATGGGCCGGAGCTGTTTTCTCGAGGACTAGTCAGGCGCAAGCCTGGAACCTCGAATACGTGGTTAATGTTTGAGCTCCTTTTACCTCATTGCTAGTATTTGCTTTTGGCTCTTTAACTTGTTTTTTCATCCGTTTTCTTATTTGATTCTTTAATGATATATATGACTAAAATATCCTTATGTTCTTATTTCATCTTGCTTTTCTGGGTCAGTATAGTCATTTCACGTGACAACCTTTGAGCTTCTTTTGGTACGTCTTTCTCTCTTTTTCAAATTGTTTACCTCCTTCTGCATTATCTGTATGTAATTATTATTAGAGCGGTTAATCTATAACCATATATGTCAATTTATATTTCTCAAATCAAATAAAATTCTATATTACGTAGATATAAAATAATTAATTAAAAAATTGTAAAGTTTAATACAAAGTATTAATATCACGTCACAAAAAACAAAAATAGATTTGATAAAATTAAAATAATTGATTGAAATTTTTTAAAAAGTTTAATCGTATATTCAGATGAATTATTGATATATATCACATGTGGTAAATAAATAATTATCAAAGAAAATAAAATTAAACAATTAAAAAAATGCTTAAATAATTTCTTTAATTATTTCTTGGCAAAATCATAATATTTTAAGTAAATACATACACACACGCAGGCGATATGTAGAATAAGAAAAACGTGCACACATTACAAAAGCATTCAAAACAAAAAGTACTTAAATTAGAAAACAACTATCTCGATTTTAATTACGTACCTTAATCAAATTTGTTCTCCTCATAGAATTTGCATAATTTTTTGATGAAATTGATATTATATTAATTACATTTTTTCATTTAAAACTTGCGAAACTGTAGATACCATTAATCCAAATAATAAGATTATGA